AGGTGCTTGGCAGGGAGGACAACACAGCGGCGCGGCCGGCGCTTACCTGCATACTCCTCCTCCTCCTCCACCACCTCCACCTGGCTCTGCAGGAAGGCAGCTCTCGATGGCTCCATCTCCGATGCCGGCACCTCCAGCATCCTCCCACGGGGCTGGGGACCACCCAGCCCAGCATAGGGGTGCTCGGCCGTCCCATAGAAGAGGAGGCTCCACTCCTTCAGCTTCCCTGTGGGGCAGGCCCAATGTCAATGTCCCCCATCCCGCTACTCCGCCCCGGGGGACCCAGCTTTGGGGAAAGCAGGAGAAGGATAGACCAGACCATCAGGGCTTCACCACCAGCATGGCAATTCAGAAGCAAACAACGAACACCCAGAAATGTTCATGAGCCCCTGACCTCTCAGCCCTCACAAATGCAGCCGTTGAAGGCACCTACAAGGGACTTTTTATTCTATACCTCATCTGATGAGCCACAGCATCACCACAGCCTTCATGCCCAACGTGCAGAGAGAACCATTCGCTTTAAAAGCTCCATAATGGAGGATTATTTCTGTCTGATAAAAGCCGCCCAGCACATGCCGGATTATTTCTTGCTGCTGTTGTTCCAGCCACCCCCCTATCCGACATGCCAGAGGTCTGAGCTCGGTGTCCCCTGAAACGCCGCAAGGGCCACTGGAGCCTGTGCTGCACCTTGGGGCTGGGGACCCTCCATGACCTTACACCCACGCTGGGGTCCTCCGCAACCCACACCACTTTGGGGAGGGGGTCCAAAAAACACTGCTGTTTCTTTCCAGCACTGTTTTTCTTTCAATTCCCCATCAATGCGAGTCACTTCACAGCCGCGGCACACTCAGCTTTAACTACTAATCCCTGCATTTCCAGGAAGGGCTTAAAATTTCCAACACCCAAATCCCTTGGCTCTCCAAAAGGGCTGAGAGGACCCACCCGCTGCAAGCGAGCAGTACCGGCGTGGAGCCTGCGAAGGGAAGAGCTCGAGTGGCATCAGCAGGGGAAGAGCTCAGCCGCTTGCCTCCACCAAAAGAACTAAATTGGCTATAAATCTAAAATGTGCCACACGAGGAAAGCCTGGGCTGCATGGGGCTAATGCTGGGGATGCAGCAGTGCCAGCGACAGGACTCCCATAGTATTTAATTGGTGTTAAATTAACCATTTTACTTGGTTTAATTTAATGGTCTTAAATTAACATTTAATACCTGTTTCTGCAGTGGGCTGGGAGCATCGTCCTCTTTTTCCTCCCTCTTTGCCCTCTCTGCTTCAAACCCGGTGCAGACCCTTTGAGGGGGGTGACTTAACTCACTCATTTTCATTTCATTTTGCAAAGCTGGGCAAAGCCAGGTAAAGCCGAGCCTTGACACCCGCAAGAGGTTCAGAAACACCCGCCACAAACTGTAAATACGAGGGGAAAAGCAGCACCGTGGGCACTTCGCTGCTGCTCTCTGAGTTCAAAAGATTTCAGGTGAAGGCAGCAAACAGAAACACTTTCTGCACAATGAACCCCCACGTGCACCTCCTGCCAGAAAGCTGCGTGGGAGAGGTTTTTAATATACTCTTGGCTTCCTATCAATGAGCGTGTGGATTCTAACACCCCCGCAACGCATGCCAGCCCCAGGCAGGATGCTTCATGTCCCGCTGCCACCAGCCGGTGAGGCGGCTGCCCCTTC